CCAAAGGATAGCGCCTTCGCGGGGACCTGGGGCTGGGCGGAGCCCACGGGGCACATACCCAGAGCCTCTCCGGCTGCGTGGAGGTTGGAGGAGACTTGGGAGGTGCGACTGCAGCGGGACGCCACATGACTGAGGCCAGGCTCAGCCATAGTGTCGTTCCGGGACGGCCCAGAAGTATCCCACATAGCGAAAACTGAGGAAAGGGAAGGAGGCGCTAGGATGGAAGGGGTAGGCTGGGTAAACCGCCTGGGCAAAATTCCTCGCGCTTGTCCGAGCCACTCCTCGGTCCCTATAGCCTCCACCTTATAGCGGCCCCCTCACCCCTGCCTAGACCATGGTTGCGCCTTTGAACTGTCTTCGGCTTCCTCTCCAGCCTCAGGGCGACCCTGCTAAAATGCAAACTTGACCTTTCCTCTCCAGAATTTAAAACCTCTCTCCTCTCCCTCCGGGTAAATTCCCTACTCCATAATCTGGTTTATAGGATTCTGCCAGATCACCACCTGGCCTAAGGAAACAGCCTCCTTGCCTTTACTTGGGCCATTAACTAGACCAGGAACGCTTCTCACCCCTCCCACCTGGCTAATTCCCTTTTATCTTTGGGGTCCACTGATCACAATCTGCTCGTTTTTTTTTGTTTTTTGTTTTTTGTTATTTGTTTGTTTTTCTAAAAGATGACCTGTGGGCCGGCCCGGTGGCGCACTGGAGAGTGCACCGCCTGGGAGCGCCACGGCACTCCCGCTGAGGGTTCGGATCCCATGTAGAGACCGGTTCCCGCTCACTGGCTGAGCGTGGTGCGGGCGCAACACCGAGGGTTGCGATCCCGTTGCCGGTCAGTAAAAAAGACAAAAAGGAAAAAAAATAAAATAAAATAAAAACACAACTCAGAAATGAGCAAAGAATTCGAACAGACATTTGTCCAAAGACAATATACAAATAGCCAATAAGCATATGAAAAGATGTTCAACATTACAGAAATGTAAATCAAAACTATACTGAGATAGCATCTCATACCCACTAGGATGGCTACTATCACAAAAACAGAATATAACAAGTGTTGGTAAAGATGTGGAGACATTAGAACATTTGTGCACTGCTCATAGGAATGTAAAATGGTACAGCCACTGTGGAAAACAGTATGGTGGTTCCTCACAAAATTAAAAATAGAATTACTATATGATACAGCAATTCCAGTTCTGGGTATATACCCCAAGGAATTGAAAGCACAGTCTCAAAGAAGATATTTGTACAGCTGGGCCGGCCCCAGGGCGCACTCTGGAGAGTGCAGCGCTGGGAGCACAGCGTTGCTCCCTCCGCGGGTTCGGATCCTATATAGGAACGGCCGGTGCGCTCACCGGCTGAGCGCGGTGTGGGTGACACAAAGCCAAGGGTTGCGATCCCCTTACCCGTCACGAAAAAGACAAAAAAAAAAAAAGAAGATATTTGTACAGCAATGTTCATAGCAGCTGAAATAGGAATACAATACCTGAAATGAGGAAGCAACCACATGTCCATCAACAGATGAATAGATACATGTGTGTGCATGTGTATACACACACACATGCACACGCACACACACAGAATCTATTATTCAGCCTTAAAAAGGGAGGAAATTCTGACATGCTACAACATGGATGAACCTGGAGGCCATTATGCTAAGTGAAATAAGTCAGTCACAAAAAGACAAAAACATGATTTGTATGATTCTGCTTATACGAGGTAATTAGAGTAATCAAAATCATAAAGATAGAAAGATAGAAGGGTGGTTGCCAGGGACTTGGGGGAGGGGCATATGGGGAGTTATTGTTTAATGAGTACAGAGTTTCAGTTTTACAAGATGAAAAGAGTTACAGAGAGGGATGGTGGTGATGGCTGCAAAATATTAGAAATGTATTTAATACCACCAAACTGTACACTTAAAAATGTTAAGATGATAGGGCCGGCCCGTGGCTCACTCGGGAGAGTGCGGTGCTGATAGCACCAAGGCCCCGGGTTCGGATCCCATATAGGGATGGCCGGTTCACTCACTGGCTGAGCGTGGTGCTGACAACACCAAGTCAAGGGTTAAGATCCCCTTACCGGTCATCTTTTAAAAAAAAAAAGAAAAGAAAAAAAAATGTTAAGATGATAGATTTTATATGTATTTTACCACAATAAAAAAAAATTTTTTAAATACCAAAGATAAGTGAAAGGAAAGGAAGAGAGAAAGGGGAAAAGGGAGGGAAGATGTTAAGATGATAGATTTTATATGTATTTTACCACAATAAAAAAAATTTTTTTAAATACCAAAGATAAGTGAAAGGAAAGGAAGAGAGAAAGGGGAAAAGGGAGGGAAGGAGGGGGGGAAAGAAAAGGGAGAAAGAGAAAAGCTGAATTAAATTCCCGGCTCCAGCACTTACTGATTTAGGCTCTGTGAGCCTGTTTCCACCTGCTGCAGCTATCTATAGACGTGTCACAAGACATAACATCCCTTGGCTCAGAAGTTTCAGACTAGAGCAAATGATTACCTCTAGGATGTTCCACGGAGGGCCAGGCAAAGCAACAAATAATTATAGTTGGCAGTACTTGAGAATTGAAGAGGTGGATGGTTTTTCCATAAACCATCATGTGCAGCAGAACTCCAGCAGGGCAGATGCCCACTGATCAGCTCCCTTCTTTGTAACCAAAAGGATCTGAATAATAGTGTCCCATGCAGAGCATCGCCACCCACCCCCACACCCACCCACCCCCAAGTAGCTGAGGCTGTTTGAGTATCCTCCTGCAATCAGATTAGCTTGGGAATAGCACAGGACAGAAACACAGTGGACCTTACTGTGAGGAGCTGGGGAGGGGAGGTGTTTAGGAAATGACATTAAGCTGACCCACATTCCCCAAGTCTTCAAAAACACAGGGTAGAAGTCGCTTCTGCCCCACCCACAAAGTATCCAGACCCCCAAAGGGAGTACTCAGAAGACATGTGCCAAAGAAATCAGAACCCTACAGAGCCCATATAACCAATTTTAATAGAGCCTCTGAGAGTGAGCTGACCACTCTCATGTCTTCTCTGTGTCCTGAGGTCTCTGGGCCCATGGCCTACTTTTTAAAGCCACGCCAGAAGAGAAAACACCTCAAATGCTTCATAAAACCAAACTTTTGGGGGGCTGGTGGATTCTGTGGGGCCCCATTTGGGTTCCCAGGTGCCCCTTGACCCTGGAGGCTCTCTGTCCTGGAAGGAGTGGCCCCAGCACAGCATTGACCTGGTGGCTGAAGGTCCCTCTCCAAAGATGTGTGAACTCCAATGCTGTTCTCCCCTGCATGTGGGTCACCCACTTTGGGAAACAGGATAGGATCAGGATCCCTCAAGCTCAGTTTGGGGGCTAAGTGCCCGGGCCTGGCCAGCTGTGGGGAACCGGACATCTTGTCTGGAAAGGTCATGCTCAGCTTTGCTGTGGCAGAGTTGAGACTCCCTTTGAAGTTGGAGGTTTCTTCTGTGGAACAGGAGGAAGCCTGCTGCCCAGCCCCTCTGCCCTCTGCAGGCTCCAGGCTTCCTCTTCTCCAGTATGTGGGATGCTGACATTTGAGTCTGGGGGGTTTACAGGCCTCCCAGGATGTACGCTCCTTCTTCCAGCAGTTCTGGCCTGCCCTGGAGGATGACATCCTCACTCTGATGGGAGACCTCTCTACCATCTGGGAGACCCCTGGCCCGACCATTTGCCTGCCCCTGCTGTTCTCACTGTAACGTTCTTTGGCCCTTTCTCTGCTACACCAGCTTCTAGATTCTGTGGCAGGTGTGGGGTTCCTGGGAGCAGGGAGCTTGGCCCTAGGAACCTCTTCCTGGATCGCCTGTGGTTCTCTGGCACCCCCTGGTGGCCTGATTCTCCTGGGCTTTTCAGGCGGGATAGAAATGCACATTGGGTCTGACCTGCATGGTCTATACTTTTCCAGAGCTCTGGCCTGTGTAGGATGTTTTGAGCTTTTTCTTTGTGGGGACCGAACCCTCCAGGATCTCTCTGGGGACTTAAAGCCTGGAGTGAAGCCCTGGGCCTCACAATGCCTTTCCTGCTGCCCTTGGAGTTCCTGGCCTGTGTATAATCCAGGGAACCTCACCCCAGCTAGAGGCAATGAGCAAGATCCTAAGATGTTAAATAGCAAATAGGACTCCAGGATCCGCCGGGGGAGGCCCCACTTCAGGTGTGCAATTCTCCGCCGCATGAGGGACTCCAGGAGCAGTCTTTTGCTCTTCTTGAGGACTGGCCACTTGAGCGGGGCGGTGAGGATAGCAGGAACACCCGCCAGAGCTGTGGCAGCTTGAGGGGTTTGGCCACACAGGAGAGAGAGGCAGGCAGAGGGCATGCCCAAGGGAGTGGCCAGAGGCTGTGGGTTCTGGAGCTGCCAGATCAGACTAGTGGCTTTCCCTGGATCCACTCCTTTGTCCCTTTGTTGTCTTCTCTGGGTTTCAGGCCAGGCCTGCTGGGAAGCTAGACAGACCCCCACTCTGTGCTCCCTGACAGGGGCTATGCCCTGGCTGGCCAGATGCTCTTCCTCTCCACCTGCCAGCAGGAAGACCTCACCCTTGTGGGGGAGAGGCTCCATCTTAGCACAGAGAGCAGGGGCTAAACCATTCCCAACCACTGCCTGTTTCTGTTCCATGACACCATATCCATAACCAGTGAGGGCTGGAGGCTGTGCCAGCCTGTGTTTCCTCTCTCTGAGCACTTCACTCCTACAGTCAACTTGGAAATTGGCCCTAGAAGCATCCTTTCCTCTGACCTGGTCCTTGTTTCCTCCTCTTGGTGCTCGAGGCCGTCCAGCATCCTCAGTTCTGCACTTTCTCTGGCTCCCTACATCCCGGATTTCTGCAGCATTCTCATCTCCACCCTTGTTCTGGTTTCCTTGCCCTTGTGTCTGGATATCTCCATCAATTTCACTTTTTAACTGTCCCTGGTCATCTTCTCCAGCAGTCTGGGTCTCTGTACCATCATCACCTGTGGCCCCTCTCAGGTTCCTTTTCCCTTGTATTTGAATTTCTTCACCATTCCCACCTCCAATCTGTTCCAGGCTCTTGCACTCTGATGAATAGGTCTTTCTATTAACATTACTTTTTAACAGTCTCTGGATCTCTCTACCATCCTCACTTCCAGCCTCTCCCTGGTTTCTCTTCTCTGATATCTGATTTTCTGTGATGTTCTCTCCTCCAGTCTGCTCCCACTTCCTCCTCCCTGATGAGTGGCCCTCTCCAATTTTACTGTTGCACTGTCCCTGGTTTTCTCTCTCAGGTCTCTGGGTCTTTACTCCCTCTTCACCTCCAGGTTCTCTCTGGTTTCTCTTCTCTGGAGCCTGAATTTCTGTTCTTTTCTCACCTCCCATCTGCTCCTGGTTCTTCCACTCTGATAAATGGGTCTTTCTATCAAAATCACCACTTAAATGACTCTGGTTTTCTCCCCCAGGAGTCTGGATCTCTGTACCATCCTCACTTCCAGCTTCTCTCAGGTTTTTCTTCCCTTGTATTTGAATTTCTGCGCCATTCTCACCTCCAACCTGCTCCTCTTTCTTCCACCCTGCTGAATAGGTTTCTCCATCAATTTTACTTGGTAGTTCTCCCCAGTACTCTGCCTTAGATGCCTGAGTATTTGCACCATCCTTGACTCTAATATGTTCCTGATTCTTCCACTTCGGTATATGAATCTTTCCATTAAATTCATTTCCTAACTGACTCTGATTTTCTTCCCCAAGTTCCTGGATCTCTTTACCATCCTCACCTTTAGCCCCTCTCGGGTTTCTCTTTCTTAGTGCCTGGATGTCTGTACCATTCTCATCCCCAAACTGCTCCTTGTTCTTTGTCCCTGCTGAATGGACCTCTGCCTCAGTTTCACCTCTTAATTGTCCCTGGGTCTCAGCCTCAGGCACCAGGGTATTTGCACCGTCCTTGTCTCTATCCTTTCTCTGGTCTCTCTTCTCTGGGGCCTGAATTTCTGCTCTATGTTCACCTCCAATCTGGTTCTGAGTCCCCCAATATAGTATCTGGAATTTTCTGTCAATTTCACTCGCTATCAGTTGCTGGTTTCCCCACCATGGTGCCTGGATCACCACCCAATCCTCCTCTTTTATCTCCCTGAGCTTCTTCCTCCTAGATATCTGGGTTTTCCAAGCATCCTCACCTCTTCCCAGGTCTTGGTTTCCCCACCCCACTTGAATTTTATATCGTCGTAGTTTATGGTTCTCTTCCCTAGATACGTGGGTCTCCCCTGCTTTCTTACTTCCACCCTGATCCTGTTTCTCCCACCCTGGAGTCCAGATCTCTGTAACATTCTCACTTCCAAGGCACTGCCGTTTTCCCCACTCCAGGGCCTGGGTCTCAACAACATCTTCTTTTTTGACTTCTCCCAGGTCCTCTGTCCCAGATGTCTGAGTTAGCACAGCATCCTCACCTCCAACCTGGTTCTTGATTCTCCCCTCTTCTGTCTGACTGTCTGCACCAGTATCATCTCTAATCTGGTCTTGTTTACCCCACTTGGACATCTGGGATTCCTCATCATTCCCACCTCCAGTCTGGTCCTGCTTCTCCAGTCCTTGGGCCTGGATCTCTCTCTCATCCTCCCCTCTGTCCTCTTTCAAATTGTTCTTCCTCTCAAATGTCTGGGTCTCCACAGCATCCTCACCTCCACTCTTATCCTGGTCCCCCCACTCTGTTGTTTGGGTCTGTGCATCAATTTTAGATTTTAACTGTTCTTGGTTCTCTCCCATATGTGCCTGGGTTTCAGGAGGATTTTTACCTCCAACCTCCCTCTGGTTTCTCTTCCGTAGTTCCTGAATTTTGGCTCTATGCTCAACTCCCATCTGGTTCTGGTTCTCCCACCCTGATGTCAGGATCTCTCCATCAGTTTCACTTATTGCTAATCTCTGATTTCCACAATTCAAGACCTTAGTCTCTGCATCATCCCCCATTCCAAAGTCTATTGGGAGTTGCCCCCTAGATGCCTGGATTTCCCAAGCATCCTCTTCTCTTCTTTCTCTCTGGCTTACCCAGCCTGGAGCCTGGATCTCTCTGCCTACTATCTGTTTTTCACTCCCCAGCACCCAGGCCTCTTGTAGGCAGTCCCACGATGTCCAGGTGGACATTCTCAGTTGTTGGTTGGAAGAATCAGGCAGGAACTCTCTGGGGCAGAACTGCAGCCTCTGAGCTGAAGGGAGGGTTGAAAGAGGTGTAGATAAGATCATGCAGGTAGGGTGAGACCTCATGCTTGCAACAGGCTCCAGTGGCACCAACTTTTCCTGGGAGTGAACCAGCAGTTGCTTCATCCTTTGGCACATGTCCAAGGCAGGATGAGTCTGGCCATCACTAGGACACTGCCGTGCTTCCCAGGAACTGTCCTGAGAGAGCAAACAGGTGCTTGAAAAGGAGGTGGTACAAAAGATGGGCTCAGAGAGAGTGTGGACACTCTCAGGTGAGCCCTGACATGGGTGCTTCAGAGAGAGCCTGTGCTGGGCCCATGATTCCTTGAGTCTCCTTCGGTATTCCCATCTCTGCTTTTGTGCCCATTGTTGGACATGAGCATCCAGGACCCTGAACTCGCCAGGACTAGAGAAGAATTCAGGAGTCAGCCTGAAGAAAGTTTTACGTCTCATGGAGGGCACTGCCCACGTCTGCACTGGCATCTGTAGGTGAGAACCAAGAAGCAAAATCCTTGCACACGTATTAGCTCATATAATCCCCACAGGTCAGAATTACAATCCCCACCACCCAGATGAGGATGCTCAGGCCGAGGGAAGGGGGTGTCACTTCCCTTAGAGCAACTGTATTCATTCATTCAAGAAAGACTAAGAGGAGTTTACTCTGGGCCAGGGACTGTTCTAGGTGCTGGGAGTACCAACATGAACAAGGCAAAGTCTCTGCTGGGAGCTATATTCTAGACATGGAAGAAAGACAAAACGAAGTATATAACATAATGTTAGGTATCAAAATGTGTTTGACGGTTCCTGTCTTTAGATTGTGCTGGGGAAAAAAGTGTTCTAGTAGAAATAAAAGTAAAGTAGGGGGTGGGGTTAGCTCCTTTAGACAGAGTGGTCAGGGTAGGCCTCTTAAAAGAGGTGACATTTGACTGGAGACCTGAATGAAGTGAGGGGCAAAGCAAGTGACAAACAAGGCATTGTAGGTAAAAGGAGACATTAAGTACAAGGGCCCCGGGATGGAACAAGCTCATGCAGACAGGAACAGCAAAGAAGCCCATGAGGACAGAATGGAACCAGTAATGAGTACTGTGAGATGAAGCTGGACACAAACAGGACAAATCATGTTGGGCCTTGGAGTTGTAGCTAGGAGTTTGGATGTCATTCTGAGTTTGATGCAGAGTGTATCCACAGGAGCCATTGCAGGGTTTTGAGCAGCAAAGTGCCATGATCTGTGTTTTAAACATTTGTTCTGGCTCACAAGCATCATGTTGGACTTAATCCAGGTACAAAAGAATACTTGCCATAGGATTCCATGCAGGCAAAACTGATCTGTACTCTTAGAAATCACCAAAGTGGTGGGCCGGCCCGTGGCTCACTCGGGAGAGTGCGGTGCTGATAACACCAAGGCCCCGGGTTTGGATCCCATATAGGGATGACCGGTTAGCTCATTGGGTGACAACACCAAGTCAAGGGTTAAGATCCCCTTACCGGTCATCTTTAAAAAAAAAAAAAAAGAAATCACCAAAGTGGTGACTGCAAACTTCTGGGCTGCTGGTAATGGTCTGTTTCTTAATCTGTGTGCTACACATGGATGTGTTCAGTTGGTGAAAATTCATTGATCTATACACTTGTAATTTGTGTATGCATGTATGCGTGTTATCCTTGATTACAATTTTTTTAAAGAGAGAGAAAGAAAAAAGTCATCCTGGCAAATGTGTGGAAGACTGACTGTAGTTGGGTGAGAGAGGTGGCATGAACCAGGCAGGAGGCTATCACAGTGGTCCAGGTGAGACATATGACAGCTCTGTCCAGGGTGGTGTAGTGAGATTGGGAGAAGTGACCAGGTTTGAGGTATGATTTGCAAGTAGAGCCCACAGGACTTGCAGATAAATTGAATGTGTGAAGTTGGGGAAAGAGAGGAGTCCAGTCTGACTCCTGGGTTTTGGGTCTGGAAAGTGCTCTCCCTGACCAGTTTTAGTTCCCCTCTGATTCATCTCTGGTACCCAGGGCATAGAACAAGGGTCAACGTAACAGGTAGCTGACACAATCACAGTGCTGAGCAAAGGAGAATGGAGGTGTTTGGGGTCCCTCACCTTGATGACATTCCTCATGCTGGGGTGGGTCCTGGTGACCTGGTGCCAATAATGCCGGACCTGCCAGATCAGAAAGAGGCAGAGGACAAGCAGGTTGCTGCAGCACCGAGGGTCCCTGCAGCTGCAATTCTGGGAGAGCAGGTCCTGCACTGGCTCCCACTCAGGACCTTGGAATGGCCCCACCACAACACAGGCACCCAGCAGCGGCAGTAACATGACAAAGCTTAGATCAGGCAGGTGGTGTTAGGCAGCTGGAGGGAAGGACTGGCATGGCTGACCCAGCCAGTTTGGGGCGGGGTAGCCCCTGCCTCATAGCACCCCTGTCACTGAGGCCACCTCACAAAGGAGCCTGATGCCCCAGCCTCAGCTCCAGCTGCTGACCCTTCCTCCAGGGCCACCTATCATGCTCTGAGTGCAGGTAAGAGACAGTGTTGGAGAACTGCCCAAAAGGAATTAAGAGGAAGAAGATTTGGTTTTAAACGTTCCTGTCTTCTGGAGTGAAGAGATTATGTTCTCCCCATGTATAATGGGGCAATGAAAACTGCAGTCTGCTTAATTTCTTTCTTCTTATTAGATACTTTTATCCATTTCTCTGTCTATTCATTATCAAACACTTAATGAACACTGTGCTGGACATACATATTCTCCTTTGACCACTCGGTATCCCCTCCTCTTCACTCATAGTATCCTGATTTCTTGTTGGGGAAGAAACATTATTTTTCCCATCTCAGGATCGGTGTTGGAGGAAGAATAAATGCTACCCTGAAGACGGTTTTTTCACCCTAAGGTTATATTCAAAATATTGAACAGCTGAGCAGGCAGAGACGTCAGCCAATCAGAATGAGTCAGGTCTTAACCCTTTAGTAGCTGGATTGAAAGTGATCCCCGGAGTCCCAGGGGAGGGGCATCACCTATTTACCAACCAGTTGGGCAGTATTTCTCTATTTTAAGAACCCAGTATGCCATGTAATGTATCATGGTTGAATGTCACTCCAGCTTATACCTGATACTCTCTCACAGACCCAGGACAGCCAAGGAGTGGAGATGTGGCCTAAGTTTGGCCAACTGGGCTCTCTGTGCCAGGGCTCTAGGTCTCAAGAGCAGAGATTCAAGGTAGTAATAGGAGGCTGATGAGAAAAAAAAAAAAAAGCAGTCCATGGTGGCTAGGAACTAGCCAGCTCTATCAATGAGAACTTGATGTTGCTAGGAGCTACCCTGACTCTCACACCTGGGCCTTGGAGTTCTCCTGTTGAACATAAAGAATTTCACAGAGACAAGGCCACTCTAACTGTGATAATCAAGACAAAAACAAGACACTCCTGAATCATATCTAAACACAGACAAAAACATGAACACTCCCAAACCACAAAAATGACCAAACATCCCTTTACCTTGGCTAATTAATCTGAGTGACTTCTACTTTTTTTTTTACCAACTGTAGCGTTAGCCTCACTTCATTCCTTTCACTTGTAGATAAAATTTATTAAGATGCCCAATCATAGACATACCCATACTTCTTTATAGTACCTATTCCAGAGCAAACTCCACTTCCTGAAACTGCTATGGGTTGATTGAATTGTGTCCCCCAAAGTACCATATATTGGAAGCTTAATTCCCACTATAACTGTTGAGGGTGGGAAATCCTATTATAGTAATTGAAAGGTGGGGCCTTGGAGACACGCCCACTTCCTGAAACTGCTATGGGTTGATTGAATTGTGTCCCCCAAAGTACCATATATTGGAAGCTTAATTCCCAATATAACTGTTGAGGGTGGGAAATCCTATTATAGTAATTGAAAGGTGGGGCCTTGGAGACAC